CTTCCCTGGATGAACACAACAATTCTGCCAATTGACGGGGTTCCAAGGTCAACAGGAACGGCCTAGAACCCAGGCACTTTCATCTTGTACCTTGCTGTGTACCTTACACCCGTCCAGGTATTCGTCAGCAATGGAAGGTACCTACCGCTCACTTCCCGCAGTCAAGTGAGAATGGAAAGAGTGAGTGGAGGGCCACCAATCGTGGCTTCCACTTTCTCTCTCACTGTCCCTCAAGGTGGAACTCCATCTGGCTCCTCCCACAACTGGCACAAGACCACTAAAGTGTAAAGGTAAGTGCACACTGCACTCCAGTCTCCCAGCCTCCGTTCTAGAAAAAAAGAGGACGAGCGGGTCCCGTTCGGTAGTACCACGCAGTGCTCCATGCGGCCCCGTAAGCGCTGCCTTGCCGCTCGGGCCTATCACAGGGGTAGACGGAGCTTTTGCTCCGGCAAAGCCCAGCTCGTTCTATGCCGTGAGTTGGAGATGCCCCCATTCGACTTTTTGCCCGCGCGCGACCTCCCCTTCCTTGGAGTATTCCCACCCGTTCCCCCATTGAAGGGGCCTTGGGCCCCAGAGTTGTGGCTTTGCACCCTCCAATGTACCTTACCTGACCCGGACATGGGCCTGACCTGGGGATGCAGCTGTGAGAAGGAAGGAAAAAAAAAGGTTTACCTATGGCAGGCAATGTGTACAGAGTACGGAGTACAGAGTACCTGTATCAAGAGGGGGGGAATACCGTGGAAAAAAGAACGGGATATGGAAACGCACCAAAATATATGCCCAACCAGACAAATCAATTTTGTCCAGTATGACTAGAACTGTGCTTCACTGTCATCGCCTTATCCGCTCCATTCCGCCGCCGCCAACATTGCCCTGCCCTTCTCATCTCAACCTTTCTTCCCCTTCCACTTTTCCCTTCACAAGTTCACTCGCCCCTCGCCCGTTGCTTTCTTCCCGCCCTTCCACCCCCAGGTACAACATACATCCTACACCACCTAAACTCTTCTCCCCGTTGAGTCCGTCGCGTACACTATCCGTACTGGCTCGCCTCTCCCGCCCCGGTTCAAAGACCCTGTCCGCACTGACCAACCAGAAGAGAAGCCTTCGATATCCTCCGTCCGCGACGTCCGTCGTCGTCGAAAACGCTCCGGCCCAGCAAGGGGTCCTGGTGGAACCCATCGTGTGGCAATTCCTTCAAAACTTTGCTCTCCATTGGATGACCCGAACCAAGGTCGCGGGGCAGCCACAGCTGTTGTTTATATCAGCCACACCAAGGCCACCGGTTTGGCACGCTCTCCAACTGCCTTCGTGGTCACCTCGCCTATTATTCTCTCTGTCAGTCATTTCAATCCGGGACAATACTCTCATGTTGCCCTTTTTCAAAAACACGCCCTCCGAATCACTCGTCACACGCTGTCCGAGAGGCTCCACGTCCGTTTCACTCGGCTTTCATGTGTGTTGAGCACAAATCTGTTTGCCCAGTCTGTCGGAGACTCTTCTTAGTCTATGTCGCCTTTTGTCAAGCATACCATCCTCCTTTGTTGGAGTGTCCATTGGGTGTTGTAGTACACCCAATGCAGATGCTTGACGGGCGATGTCCGAGTCCTGTTTGTCCAAATAGCCGCGTGGGGGGCTGTTTGGTCATTTAGGAAGAAACTTAGGAAAGGGAAAAGAACAAAGAGAAAGCAAGAGCCGACTGTAAGTGCCCTTGGCTAATACACAGTAAATTTTGGTAAATTCAATTGACTAACGGATTTTACAGCTTCTGGCCGTTATTATCAACTTCCACCACCTGGTCGATGCCTTCGTACTGCGGAATTTCCAAATTGTATTTTTCAGCAATGCCCGGCGATACGAATCTGCTCCCAAGGTCAGCCAACAAATTTCTCAAGCCTGGTGCTATGGTGGATATTGGGCATACCTTCCGCCGATGAAGTGCCGTCCTTTGAAATGCTTCACCAGTGGCTTTGGTGCTGTCAGGCTGACAAGGACCTCAGGTTGGAACGAACTCCCGGGGCCGGACTCGGGCGGGCCATTTTCGATATCCCACGATGATGGGGCGTCAACCGAAGTGACCGGCAGCTTTGTTTCCTCGAGCGCCTTGATCACCGCGGGGAAAGGCTCCCGGACCTCTCCAGAAAAGCTGAACCCTTGCCTCAAAATATCAGGCGCGTGAACGGACTATGGTCTAGACAGGGGGAAAAGAACGAACCGAAGATAGCGTCAACGATATGATCAGTAGTTTTCGCCGCCGTGAGGAAATCTTCGACGAACGCAACGTCCAAGTCCACCAACTGCTGCGCCAACCGCTAAGGAATTTTCAGTCAGCAAAGCTACGACCGGTCAACGGCAAGCCCAATGGAGAACGAAGGTCGGGAGGGGTCAATTTTTTATGGCAGCACCGTATACACGCAAAGATGCTGCCAGTTTCTTTACTCCTTCTCTCGAGAGAAGAATCATAGAGTTGTGCAATTGCATAGCGTGGCGTGGAAGGAGAACAAAAGCATTCTGAGCTCGGATGGCCAAGAGCTCAAGAGGTGTCGCCGATAGATGGTATGTAATTGCCAGAACATTCCCATGTACTATGAGCCGAACGAACCAATCGAGATAGACAAAAGCGAATGGCATCTTCACTCACCTGATACAAATCATTCTTGCTCCGCTTGGGATAGTAGATAGTGGGCTTGTAGCCATAGTGACAAAGGTGTCGGGCAGCCACTAGGCCATCGCCACCTGTACAGGGGTCCTGGTCAGATGCTTGGTGATTGAGACGGGGGAATCTTTGGAAGGGTGCTCACCGTTGTTACCGGGGCCGCATGCAACAAGAATGTTCAGACCTCGACTAGGAGGGTGAACGCGATAGACTGCACCAAGGTGTCAATCGAAAGCTTGAGCAAGCATTGGCCGTTGCAGGAACCCACTCGCTTGTGACACGGATAGTCCGGCAAGCTCCATAAGCTGGTCGATTGAGAAGGCACCGGTGCTCATGAGGTCCTTGTCCAAGGCCGCGGCCGCCTTTGCGCCGATAGTCTATTGGTGTGTTGCTGTCAGCGAAGCCCTCTCTGATGCTACTTCTAACCACTAACTCTGAGGGACATGTTGTCGGCGTTTCCAAGATACTTCTGCTTGAAACTTTGTGACGTTGACGTGTGAGGCTTCAGGATAGTTTCTGACGACTTCAGAGAGTTGACGTGAGGTTGGGGTGACGGTTCGAGATGTTCTGGGGAAGTAGGAAGGTAGATGAAGATGGAAGGGACGTGCGACGGGCTGACATCACTCCGCATCGGAGTTTAGCACACCGGTCAGTAACGAACCACACAACCGGACCGCAGGAACCAACGCCGGTTCGGCAGTCACCGACAGACCCACACAGTTCACACAGTGCCCTTGCAGTACGAATCGAATCTCCCACACGCTGTCACGCTGTGCATCGGGTTCAAGTTTGCCACCGAGAATAGGCATGGAAATCAGATCTGTGTAAATTTTCGTGCTTCACTGATTTGTACAATAGTCAAATGCCACCGGACTTGATACCCTAGCATACCCTTCACAAGGCCCATCATTCGATCAGAATCCTCCCCCAATTGCCTAGAAGCCTAGAAGGGAAGCTGTTCGACAGCGTAATGGTGTCCCTTGAAGTCCTTAAAGCCGACGTCTCTCACAGGATACCCCCCAATATCGAGAGCCGCCTCGACCCACCCGTTGTTGGTCTTCCCTCCCCACGTAGCCTCAGTAAAAGCCCGCATCATATCGGTGCCATTCAGCAGCGAGCTCGAAGTCCACAGCTTCCCGTCATGTGCCCAACGAGTCTCAACCCAATCGACGACCGGAATACTCTTCTTCATGGCAGAGACAATCATGCGGGGGCAAGTCGCCGTCTTACCAGCCAGAAGGCCAGCCTCGAGAAGCGGGAACATACCACCACAGATGGTCAAGAAGGCGCTGCACTGCTCGTAAACCTTGCGGATGAAGGCGAGCTCGGCTTCGCTGGTCTTGTACTTTAGGTCATGAGCTCCCATGAGTGCGATATCCAAGGGTGGACAAGACTCAAAGGAGTCCTGGGTGGTGGGTGTCAGTGTTAGAGAATCTCTCTACTGGGACGGTGGTGCCATGTGCTGCTTACGGTTGGCTGAATCTGAGCTCTGCTCTTCATCTGGGCCGGTTTGCCGTCCTCGGTGATCCAATGTAGGTCAAACTCGATATCGTCCTCCCACATCTCCTGCGGTAGGTTCAGCATTTGACGGGAAGTCTTATCGGTCCAGGCAAAGAATTCAAAAGGTGCAACGTCGAGCATTTCGGTGACGCTGTAAATGTCTCAGCTTACTTGTGGCAGGGAATCCGAGGAATTATGATTTGGTAATTACCCTTTGGTCAATATGACACCGGCATGAATCTTGCGGTTGGGCTTGCTGAGATTGAACTCCATGGTTGTGAGCTGGAAAGTAGCGTAGAGCGGGAAGAATGGCGATTTCTCAAAGTTGAGTATGTGTGAGTGTAAGTGATAGTGACCTAAATGCTTGTGGTCTCTTCGAATGGTTAGGCCATTGGAGTGGCGTGAAGTAGAATTCTTATAACCACTTACACGGACAGAAGATGCCATAGCGCAAGACCGAAGGGCTCAATGCGTCCGTGCGGCCGGCCCGTACCGGAGTAGTTGCACGGCTGTTAGATCCGAGTGGGTCCGGAACTTAGGTCGACTTACGACCGAACTCAGTCAAGAAACACGGACCAACCTTGGCTTAACATTGCATGGAGATGGCTGGCTGGAGATTCGGGCTGCGTAATTTCCGAACCCTCAAAGGATTAAAGCCATGAGTTACCGGGGAAATTGGAAACAATCAATTCCTCCCGGGGCGGAATTGGACTCTGAGCGACGGAGACGTCAATGTATCGCAGATGGTGCACATGGGTTAGCAGTTCAACGGGACCGTTATTGATACGTGGGAGAAATGAAATCGATCTTCATTTGCTTGAGTTGATAACTATATGTATGTTGTTCTCTAGGAAGCTATGCGGGAGAAAACTATTACCGCAGGTGCAGTTTCTTTCAACTCTGATTCAAAACTCTCAAATGACTCCCTCGAACCGTTTGCTACCAATGCCCGCTCTTTGCCTTCCTTCGTCCTAACCCTCAAGCCTTCTGTTGTATTCATCTTGCGGTATTCCGTAATAGTGATGTAAACGATGATCGTCAATAGGAGAAGACCCACGACGACGGCGACAGTTACAGTGCCGGTGCTGTTAGCTGATGAACCTGAGCTCGCTGGCTTGATGCCATTTGTGGCTGATGTAGGTGACTGGGAACGGTTAGTCTCGAATGGATGCCACATTGGCTTGAAATTGAGGGCAATCCTCACATTTGAAGTTGCTGTAGGGTGCACGGAGGGGTGGTTGTGGTCTCGGGACATGACAAAGGATGAGCTGGCAGAGTGCCGTATGAAGACGGACTTTCGTGCACGACTGATATGATGACCCTTCCGAATGCCTGTGTTTGTGAGATTCAAGGAGTTCTGTGGCAATGAGTGTGACAATGGGATCTTCAGGGTATGATGTCTTCAGAAATAAGCGATGAGGTAACGTCTCCGGATGCTAGAATGTGTGGCTTCGGCTAATGGTATTTAAGAGAAATCCCATCGCCATTTGATACCTCTTCGTACGGCTCTGTCAGCCATTTCACGTGGCAAACCAAGCCATAAACTCGTCGAACGCCGCAAGAGTTGTGCTTGCAGTCATCCATCTTAAATGCTTGAGGTGAGAGGCTCAAAGCACCATAGTCATCGCCGCCACGGTCGAAGAGTGCGCTCTCATGGGCGTCAAGTCACCGCATCCATCGAATCGAATTCGCTTGCAAGCGCCACATGGGAGTTCCAAGCCGCCCACTTCACTTCATGGCTCGTGTCAGTTGACACTTTGGGCCCTTCAGCTTGGCACGTAGTCAGAAGACAACGCCACTGCTGTGAGAAAACCTGTGAATCATCTTGCTGGGCTAATGAGAGTGAGACCAGCTGGCACTGACTGCATGCTCGCGTCAATAAATAGGCGAACCATTTCTTTCCCTCAAAATTTATGGCCACTCGTGGATTATCGCTGAAGGGAGGCTGCTTACATCATGTTAGTTGACCGCATACCTACTTGGTGCACGCCTCTCGGAATGAGCCGGATTTGGGCTCGCCGAAGAAGTTGGCTGACCTTCCAAACCGGGCACCTCATATGATACTCGCGGTTGAGGCTACCTAGTCATACATGCCATTGCAAGGCCGTGCTCGCCTATTCACGTTTGGCGGCAGTCAAGGTCACCTTCGTTCAACATCACACAAGTTTTACCAAGGGCCTCTCTCTTTGAAGAACTCACAGCCATCAGAAAAGATTTATACATGAAGTCACTGGTGTTTGGTAGCCCCATCCTATCAGGGGCTAAAGAGCGATTCCGAAGATGCTCAAAAAGCATTTGGAAGACAGACGAGTAATAGACTATATTGGTGGTGTAGGTTACCGCAAAATGAGCTCATAAACTGCACACTCATGGTGGTAGGGCACGCACAAGCATGGCGGCCTTTCAGCTACACATCCGACTTCGCTCTCCCAAACCAATCCATAGAGGCCATCAGACCCTGTAATGTTTCTGAAAGCCATGGGAAAGACCTGCTACGAGGCTAAAAGAGATGTCTGATATCAGACAGCGTATGTGTGTATTGAAAGATGAGAAAGTGGGCGAGGCCCACGATTCCTCCGATGGGTTTATTTAAGGTAGGTAAAAGCGACGTTTGTAAGGCTCATGTCGTCTTCTTGATCCTTTCAACTAACTAGGTGCTGCTCAATACTTCAGCACATTGTCCCAGAAGATGAGCCTCAAGGTATATTCAGTGATCCTCGATGTGTTCATTATTAGTCACGTTGAAGATGTTTTGCAAGATATCAGGGGCTGGGAGTTACTCTCTACCTAATATTTGAGATTGTAAAAGATTGAACAGAAGATGTACCAATACGGTAGAAGTGAAGAATAGGCCTTGCTGTCGTTGCGATGAACATCGTCTTACCATACGCCTAGTAAATGATTTTTCCAGTGGCTTCAGGTCGTTGTCCACAGACGCCTTAGCCCTCAAGGTATATGTACCACGCGGCGCAATGAGTGGAATACACCAGTGCGCACTCATGCGAGCCTTCCCTTATACCCCCCCTCAATTCTGTTCCTGTCACCAACGGCAGCAGGCGCCTCACAGGCCTGTGAGGTCAGGTCAAACTGCCGTTTGGCGGGATGGTTACGGGCGAGCCTGTTCAACTAGCTTAGCCTAAGCCAGGATTTCAGGTTCGAGTCTCGGCATGTGCACCAGAGATGTAGCCCCCAGTTCAGCAACGGGGGGGTGAACTCTTTTGATAGTGTCTACCTTCAATTTTTGGATCCTTTTAATGACTGCCGATGTAGGTCGTGGCTGACATTAGAAGGCTCTACTAGCAAAAATAGATAGTGAAGTATGTATATATCTGGTAGTAAAAAGTTCAGAAATAGCTATATGCGGGTGACATTTTATGCTCCTTCCATGGCCACCTACCCGTAGAGAAATCGTGCTTTACCTTGAATATGATGGCCCATCGATGTGGCATGGGTTTTCAATTAATAGCCATACTACAGGCTATTGAATATACCTCAAAGCCTTAGCATCTTGTTATCAGGACTCAAAGTGGTTTAATCACCACTCTTCGGCTACATCTAAGTGCCAAGAGTTGTAGATAGTGCCTTCACACCGAACCTCACCGAGCCAGGTATATATGGGCCGTGCATCATTCCCTAGTCGGTACGTACCCGTCTGTTCCTGAGTTAGCGGGGCTGTAAACAATCGATGTCCGTCTTTGCTTTCAACCATTCCTTCCAAGCTAAACCTCCAAAAACAAGCCCAATTCGACCATCGACACCACAACCAACAACACCCCGTCGCCACACGATCTCTCTCTCCCAACCCTCGCATTTGTCGAAGCGAGGAAGCCAAACACCCTTGACACTACCTCAAAACACCCCCATCACCAGAAAAGTGCAGCGCACCGCAATCAAACCTACCGACGAAAACGGGGGGTAAACAAAGCCACACCCCACCGAGAAATCCACAACCGCAACCACAACACGATGTCCCAAAACGCAGCAACATACGCAGACTGCGTAGCCTCCCTCCGCACCTCCCTAACCTTCCTCCAAAACTCCGTATCCACCCTCGACACAGGCGTTTCTGACCTTCCCCGCCTCGCCTCCGTCCTCCGTCCCACGCGGCACTTCGAACTCATCCCCCAACCCACCCTCGCCGCCGCCGAGGCCTCGCTGCGCGACGAAATCGGCCCGCAAATCGCGAAACTCCTCGATCGCGCCGACGCGCAAATCGCGCGCCGCGAACGGCGCATCGAGACTCTGCAGGCTAGGTGCGAGCTCTTGCAGGGCCGGTTGGCTGCGCCGTCTGAGGAGGATGGGTATGGGGGCAAGAAAACAAAGGGACGAGGAGGGGGGTTTGGTGCTAGCGGAAGTGGTGGGAAGAAGGGATTGAATGGGGAGAGTGCTTTGCGGGCGAGGGCTGTGAGGCAGAGGAGGGAAGGGTTGGAGTATAGTGTTGAGAGGCTTGAGCTGGAGGTCTTGACGAAGGAAAGGGAGTTGAGGAAGAGGTTGGATAAGGCTTGAGAGAAGGAGAGAGAGAGAGAGAGAGAGAGGGAGGGAGGCGCATTTTGAGTGTTGAGGCTGCAAGATGACGCCCTGGACTGGTGGCCAAGACATGTCACTTCGCTGCGAGTGTCTCCATCGTTTGCCAGCTAAAGTGGCTGAGGGAAGGGCGGAAGGAGAGTGCTATGATACCCTACGACAGATAACGAAGAAGTCTTTTAATTGATGCACAATCTCCAGATTGTCAATTATGACTTACGAAGCGAATTCACACCAATGACTTAGAAAAGCCCACGTCTCCGCTACCTCCGTCTCATGACCAGCTTGGATAAGCTGTTCACTTGTTGGGCTCATAAATCCCACGCAAAGATGACACATTGTCACTGTCGAGAATATGAAGACGGTATATGAATATATGCAAATGCCATTTGTAAAGCAGCAAGGGAACCCCAACATGCATGGGTATCCCACCTGCGAGCTACCATAGCTATCCGAATGACCGACCCGTTGCTCGTGAAACCCGCCCCAGAAGACACAAAAAGAAAACACACAATCCCTCTACTCGAGCGACAATGGCAACATACACTAGCAGTAATAGGGAGAAAGCCTGCACGCAGTGGTGGGCGGATAGAAGTAGAAACAACAGGTCGAAGAAGAAAAAAAGCGAAGCCGTTTAGGCGGATATACGTGTGCCGCCTGTGGCTCAAAAGAGGCGGCAATGGTTTTATCCCGGACAAGAGACCTTAATGTACTCCAACAAGCATTTGAGCGCGAAACCGTTCCATGTCCCATATGGTCATTTTTTGCTCCCATCTCCAACGGCGAAATGAAAATCATGAGCTCATTATAACAGGATCAGGTAGTTGCTCGGCGCAATACCCGTCTCGCCCGTCTCCTTGCGTGCCTGCCACCACCTTCCACTCACGTCACTGACCTCCAGAATCTCGTGCTTTGAGAAGGAGATCTCGTTCGCGTCGTCGGGGTTGGCCTCGTAACTATAGATGGCCTTCGCGCGGTAGGGGTATTCGGTGGGGGGCACCACCTCTTGGTCAAGACCAGGAGGCTTCGCTGCAGGTGGCGCCGCGTTGAATGTCGGGGCCACTCCGGAGTTGCGGGTTTGTGTAGTGGGGATGCCCTGAACGGGGGATGGGTTCTCGAAGCCATTGAGCTGCGCCGAAGTGTACATCTGGGGAGGCTGGACCGACGTTGAGGTTTCGGGCCGACCACCGCCGTACATCATCTGTCGGTTTCCAGACTCCTTCTGGAGCGCGAAGGAATCGAGGTAAGCGCGCGGCTTCGCTGACGGGGCGGAGCCGAAGTAGAAAATCCAGACAATCTACAGGGACAAGGTCAGCATTCGATCCTCACCTCCGTAGCGGAGAACTTACGGTAACCATGGCCATGAGAATGAAGCCAGCGCCAGCAGCCTGGCGAGCACCGTTGGAGGAGTAGATGAGGGAGTGGATAGTCAGTGAGTTCAGGGACAGAGCGGCACCCAGGTATCCCGTGAGGGCGACATGATAAGTTTGCGCAGTGTCTGAAGCCACAACGACGAAGACTCCTGCGATAAGGAAGAACATGTAGACGACGGTCCACCATGCGAAGGGTGGGAATGAGCCGGAGTTATTTGTGACTTGTGTTGTCGCGATGATGGAGCTAATAAAAGCAATTATCCATGCTAGCTAAGAAGACTGTTAGTACAGACATAAACAGAAGGCCGATCTATCGAGAAGAGCCAGGTATTCTCGAGGCGTTTTTTGGATATCGACG